AAGCCCTAGAAGGTAGCCTATAGCGTGCTATGCTTTTAACTGTGTATATATATGCCAACTAAACTCACTGAATTAAGAACAACTACAGCTAGAGTCCAGGTGGGAGAGAGACACATAAAAGGTGAGGTGAGCACATTTGCTGCAGGTGAGCGAGTTCCTTTCCAGTAACATGTCATTCTCTCTGAAGCAGGAGGCAAGGCCATCTGCGGGAGTCAGGGAAGAGACAGAGGGAAGCTTTGAGGTGTGCAGAGAGCAGAGAATATTGACACCACTGAGTGATAAGTGGGGAAATGTGCTCACTAGAGAAATCCTGGAGGATTGCCTGGCAGTGGCAACATGGTAGGCATTGATTTGTAGTCTTAGAAATCTGTGCTGGGAGAGCCTGCTGCCTGCAGGCTCAGAACAAATAGAGCTGGGTGAACCGAGATGGAAGTCGTCCTGGTGAGGAACTGGAAAGATCAAGGGTCAAGGGGGTTTTGTTTGTCATAAAGAGAGTGCTGACTTTGGATGCAGAGATGGAAGGTGGGGAAGTGGAAGTAAGAGGAACGTGGACAGGCAGGAAAGCAGAGGAGTCAGTGCATGATGTCCCAGTGAGGGTGAAGGAGGGCCCGGGAGGCTGGTGGAGAAGCAGCCGGACGGCTAGAGGTGGGCACTTAAAGGAGAGAGGCTGGAACTGGGGTGGAGACACGCCCGGGTATGAGCCCGGGGGTAGGGTGAATGGGGTTGGCTGGCTCAGGCTGAGGGAGAAGAAGACCCTAAAATGACCATACTGGGTGGTGAAGGGAGAATGAACTTTTAGGTCTTGCTGGTAGGAGGTGAGGCAATACAGAGCTGGTGGTCCAGGTGCTCCTGACTGAGGCAGATGAGCAGGGAGGCCAGGGTGGCAGGCACTGCTTGGAAAGGATCTGAGTTTTTCAGTTGCTCCCAAGAGAGGAGGAGCAATTATCTGAAGGTGAAAAGTGAGCACAAGGTCAATCCAGGCACCTGATCATACAAGGTGTGTGAGGGGGCAAAGCGTCAACTCCAGAGATGGTTACCCAGGAAGCAGTGACCACGGGTGAAGTGAGGGGACACTCAGAGAAGAGAGGGAGAAAAGTCTTCTGGGTGTAGGGGGAAGAGAGGCCCCAGGACAAAGGAACACAGAGGCACAGTGATGAGGATGGTCTGGCTCTATGGTGACACTGCAGGGATGGCTGGATCTTTGTCCTGAGGGCTTAGGTTGGGGGGGCTACTGGCCTCATGAGGACCCCCTCTCAGCAGCCTGGACAGAGGCTCTCGCTCCTGAGAGCTGTGTGGCCACCACTATTCCCAGAGGGGCTCTGTCTCCATCTTCTCTTATCAGACTTTCCTGCCCAGCCCCCGACCACCAGCGAGGGAGCCTGGGCCTCGCAGCTGCTTCCTGTGGAGGGACACAGGCTCCTCAGAGAAGCAGGCTGATCTTACTTTTCTCCATAACCCAGGGCCTAGCAAAGCGCCAGCCCACTTGTGGGCCATGTAGGGGCTCGGATACTTACAAAACTAACTCAAAGCAGTAGAATAGCAGAGCTGGAGGAAGTGACCACTGAGCTCACAGAGTTCACTGCCCACACCCCCATTCTACAGATGAGGAATCAGAGACCAAGAGGGAAGCAGCCTTGGCCAAGGGCACGCTGCTCTTAAATGCTGGCCTGTGTCGGGCATGCCAAGTGATGAGCTGCACTGAAGGGGCTGAGAGGGGGCTCTGGGGCCAGACAGCTTGGGTTCAAGTCCCAGCTCTGCCATGTATTAGCCGTGTGATTATTGAATGTCCTTACCTTTAAAGTGGAAGTCATAGTGGTGCCAACTCATTGAATTGTCGTGAACACAGCGTTCCTGCAACAGCAGGACAGAGTACTGTAAGGGTTTGCTGTTGCTTTGTTTACTATTATTATCACCAAGTGAACCCTGAAATGAAGAACAAAGGCAGCAAGAATTTTTATTTTAAAGGATTTTAAAATCCTCTGATGAATGTTTCATTTCATCTAATCATGTTTGCATTTGACCCTTATTAACAACTACACAATGGATGACTTTTGAGGCAATCTTGCTTCATGTCTTTAATTCTCACTAACGACACAGGCTATTTAACAGGCAGCAGTTTCTTTTCCAGGAAGAGGGACAAAAATTTAAAAATGACTCAGTGCCTCTCGGTCCCCAATGAGTTGGTTGTGACCTGTCAACCCAGCTCTGGGGAAGTGCCGGCTCTCCCTGGGCTCGCTGAGCTGCCCCGCAGCCTCCAAGGGGCGCTGTACCCCCACACGAATCAAGTCTCTTGGTTACTATCTTTGCTTCAGATCCCTCAAGGACTGCTCATAACCCAGGGCCCCATCTGCCCCACCAGCCTTGGCTGCTGGACTCCAGGACACTATCCTGTGTCTCAACCATCCTCTGTTCCTATGACCGCCCCACTACTCTACAGTTTGTCCTTCAAGTGTGGGCTCCTGTGGCTCACCACACAGCAGGGGTCTCCCCGTCATCCACCTTGGGTAACTGCATTGTCCTGCACGGTGCCTAGCAAACCCGTGTGAAGGCAGGAAGTATACAGAACAACAAGTGCTCAGAGGGGCTGCCTTTCCAACTGCAGGGGCCCTAGAGAGCTTTCTCCTAGCTGGTTATTCAGAGGCGCTGAAGCTGTGGAATCTTGATCTCACCAATTTAAAGGGCATCATCACTAATTACAAAAGCAATCATTTCTTCAGAAGCAAAAGGAGAAAAGACTATGTGTTCCCCACCTCCAACTTCTTTCCTCCACCTTCAGATGTTTCTCATCTCTGGGCAAGGGTAGAAAGCAAGTCACAGAATATTATTTTTCAATGTTTTTTCCCACTCTGAAGATTGCTTTCCCAGAACCGATGAAGGCTAGAATGGTTTAGCTTTCCTGGACTGAGTATTCAGAGGCCTGGAGGGGAGAGGGGAGGGGGGAGGTGAGATAACTCAGCAATGTTGAACCTAACAGAGACATTAAATGTTCTATTCTAAACAGAAAGGAAGCAGGACGCTATAGAAACAGGAAAACCATAGTTGGAAATGCAATAACAAGTTACAAGAGAATAAACATAAAGATGTAAATATGAAAAAGGACATCAAAATAAAAAAAGGTAGGAATGGGAGAGGGGAGCAAGAAAATATAGACTTTTTCTTTCTTTTTTTTCTTCATTACTCTTAGGATGTGTTGGAGCCTACGTGATTATCAGTCTAAAGGAAACAGATATAGTAATGGGTTGATATATTTGAAGAATAAGGTAACCACAAATCAAAAGCATACAATAGAGTCACAAAAATACCAAAAAGAAACAAACTCAAAATGGCTTAAAGACTTAAATATTAAACAAGACACTATAAACTTCTAACAAGAAAACAGGCAAAACATTACTTGACACACATCACAGCAATGTTTTCCTAGGGCAATCTAAGCAACCCAAGCAACAGAAATAAAAGCCAAAATAAATAAATGAGATCTAATTAAACTTATAAACTTTTGCACAGCAATAGAAACCATAAGTAAAACAAAAAGACAACTTATGTAATGGGAGAATATATTTGCAAAAGATGAGACTGACCATGGCTTAATTTCTAGACTATATAAATAGTTCATACAACTTAATAAGAAAAAAATTAACAACCAAATCCAAAAATGGGCAGAACACCTAAACAAGCAATTCTCCAATGAAGACACACAAATGGCCAATAGGCATATAAAAAAATGCTCAATATCACTCAATTATCAGAGAAATGCAGCTCAAAACTACAATGTTATCATCTCACACCAGTCAGAATGGCCATCATTCAAAAATCCACAAACCATAAATGCTGGAGAGGCTGTGGAGAAAAGGAAACCCTCCTTTATTGTTGGTGGGTATATAGTTTGGTGCAGCCACTGTGGAAAACAGTATGGAGATTCTTTAAAAGATAAAAAACAAAAAAACTTATCACCTAATCCAGCAATCCCACTCCTGGGCATATATCCAGAGGGAACCTTAATTCCAAAAGATACCTGCACCCCAATGTTCACAGGAGCACTGTTTACAATGGCCAAGACATAGAAGCAACCTAAACGTCCACTGACAGATGACTGGAAAAAGATGTGGTATTTAGATATAACAGAATATTACTCAGTCATAACAAAGAAGGAAATAAGGCCATTTACAGCAACTTGGATGGAACTGGAGATTATCTCACTAAATAAAATAAGTCAGACAAAGACAAGTATCATATGATATCATTTAAATGTGAAGTTTTAAAAAAATGATACAAATGAACTTATTTATAAAACAAAAGCAGACTCACAGACTTATAAACCAAACTTAGGAGTTTGGGATCAACAGATACAAATTAGTATATGTAAAACAGACAAACGACAAGGATTCACTGTAGAACACAGGGAACAATATTCAGTATCTTGCAACCTATAATGGAAAAGAACCTGAAAAAGAATAGGGTATGTATATGTACAACTGAATCACTATGCTGTATACCTGAAACTAACAAAACAGCTGTATATCTGAAACTAACAAAACGTTGTAAATCAATCACATTTAATTTGAAAAAGATTGATAAGCTCTAAATACCTTTATTCAAAGAAAATCTTGAACTCTTCCTTCTTACAAAACTTAAAATGGGTAGCTTGAGCAGGACCAAATTATACTGGATGGGCAGTTACATATCTTCTCCAGCACGTGGCCCAAGCTACACACGCATCGTGTATTCCTACAGGTAAGAACAGCCCTGAGTGCACAGGGAGTGAGTCCTTCTGGGACAAGGCCTCTGTGGCAGTGGCCTCCTTGTCACCGCTCCATCTCACCAGGAGGCCAGGGTTTTCAGAGGTGAGGGGACATAGAGCTCATACACTTCAAACTGATTTCCCGAAAAAACTATGGAAAAACCAAATTCACCTGCAGTGTGGGAAACATGAGCATGGCCCCTAAGCAGACCGACAAGCCCAAAGTAAGAAGGCCCAATGTTCAGATCGGAACCAGAACAACGACCACCTGGCCCCAGTTAAATGACCACCACCTCACCTGCAATGAACTGCTCGTACTCAATGTCAGGGATGTTTCTGTTGAGACTTGGGAGGTCAAAGGAATCCGACCAGGGAATCCAGACCTGGTTGATGTCAGGGCTCTGCCAGTGGTA